TGAGCGCTGTGAGCGCACCGGTCATCCCTATATAGGATCCGAACCCGCGGCGGGAGCGCTGCTGCACTCCCAGCGCCGCACCCTCCCAAGTGCGCCACGGGCTCGGCCCTGTATTACTTAATTTTAACGAGAAACAAGGTGGCAATAAAACTAAACTAAAATAAATTTGATGACTTACATATGATAGGTGCTCGTTAGAATTGCAAAATAAAATAAACATATTGGAAATGAAGTTGGCAAAGTAGAAAAAAACAAATTGTAAAAAATACTCAGAAGGGCCTGCTCTCAGTCTTACATGCAAACGCATGAGCTTGGACACACACTTAATTGAAGGCAGAGAGATGTGAATTGGCTAAAAACATGGGCTGGGTCCTCCAAGCTTTTAAGGAAGTCTGGTTCTGTTTAGGTAAAAGTATGAAAGGATAGTCACTATTCACTCATCTATTAACTCTGAAAACTACAGAGGATTAGAATCAGGTCAGAAAATATTTATTTTCAACTTTATACATTTCCCTACATTACAAATTCTTTCTTCAACCAACATGTAGGTAATCTAGTCCTGCTGATTTATCCCCTAAATATTTCTGGATTGTCTACCCCTTTTCTTCTGATGCTCAGGCCTAAAAATCTGAAAACCTTTTTTTTTTTTTTTTTTGTCTTTTTCCGTGTCCGGCAACGGATCGCAACCCTCAGTGTTGCCCCCATACCGGACCGGGGACGGGCAACGGGATCGCAACCCTCGGTGCTGCTCCCGCGCCTCGCTCAGCCAATGAGCGGGAACCGGCCTGTATGTGGGATCCGAACCCTCAGGGCGGGAGCGCCGCCGCGCTTCCCAAGCAGCGCACTATCCAGGGCACCACCGGGCCGGCCCATGAAAACCTTTTTTTTGATGCTTATATTTTGACCAGATGATATAGTCTCATGACTCAAGTCAAAAAGTACAAAAACATATGGAAGAAGTTATCTCCTTTCCACCCCTGTCCCTACCCACCTATTTCTCCTCCTAAAGACAACTTCTGTTTCCAGTTTCTTATCTGTCCTTCTAAAGATGTCTATGTACAGGTAAGCAAACACACATATAATTTTTAACATGAATGGGAACAGACTTTTCACACCATTCTCTGACATTGCTAATTGGGAAAAGTACCAGGGTACTTCGAAACTTTTGTGGAAAAATGGAATTAAAAGATAATACGAATCTTTCCATGAACTTTTTGAAGCACCCCCATCCATCTCAGAGATTGTTTCATATTAGTACATAAAGCACTCTCCCCATCCCTTTTTAACAGGTGCATACTGTTTCATTGTATAAATGAGCCATGCATTTCATTGTTTCCTTTCTTTCACTCTCACAAAAAACGTGTGCAATGAATAACCTTTGAGCCTGTCTTTTTCTCTATTGTGGGTGCACCTGTAGGATAAATTCCCAGAAGGGGAATTGCTGACTCAGGGGTGTGTGCATTTGCCTTTTGATAATATTTGCCGGATTGCTTTCTGGGGAGTTGACACTCCCCCCAGCAACATATGTATTCTCCCAGCCTCGCCAAGACGGCGTGTTACCAAATTTTCGGTCTCTGCCAATTGGATGGGTGAAAATGGCATTGCATTTGAATGAATGGGAGAGCCAACACCTAGGCACTGAAGAAAAGGGCACAAGAATGGATGCAAACGTTCTCCAAAGGTGCTAAAACTGTCCGATCCAATGAGTATGAATAAATGTGAATGCTAGGCGCACCACCGAAGTGATCGTCAAGCGAAGCAGTTTGGGGAGAGCTGTTTGGAGCAGAGCTGGGCTACTCCCCTCGGGTCACCCCCACAAGACTGGGAAGTTCCCGGAAGGAATGGCCCTGGCCTGTCTGTTCACTGCTGTGTCCCCCACACCCAGACCACTGCAGAAACTCAGCAAACATCTGTGCGATGACAGGAAGAGGCAGGTGTGTGTGGGGTGTCCAGGCGGGACCCCAAGATACACTGGTCATCAAGGCTGTTCAGCGTGAAGCGGGTGTTGGAGAATCGGGCGAAGCCATCCCGATAGAGCCAGGCCCGCAGCGGGATGTACTGAGACGTGGCGGGACAGGGAGAGAAAAGGGAAAGGGAAGACATACAGGCACTTTCACCCCTCCTAGCTCTTGCCCCTGCTGTGACCTCCACCTGGAATACCCCACCCTCTTTCCCACATTGTTCTTCAAGCATCTGCCCTAAATCACCTCCTTTGATTCTACCCCTCCTTCCCTGGAGGGAGAGGGATGTGGAAGGAACAAGATGAATAGACCTCTTCTGAGCTCCACCATCACGTGTGACACCCTGCCTGCAGTGAGCTCCAGGACAGGGGCTGAGCCTGTCTCGGGCACCCCTGTATCCTTGTCTCAGCACAGTGCTTCACAGGACCATGAAGGTTTAGATATTTGCTGAATGAATGAATGAATGAATGAATGGGTGGAGGGGGTGGAGCAACTCTGTGGTTAAGGGAGTAGGCTCTGGGGCCAGGCTGCCTGGATTTGAATTCCAGCTCTGCCTCTGTGTAACCTTGGGCAAGTCAGTCAGCCTCTCTGTATCTGTTTCCTCATCTGTAAAATGAGGATCATAATAGAATCATAGGAGAACTAAATGACATCAAACCTGCCAAGCACTAGGGCCTGGTGCTTAGTAGGTGCTCAGTGAACATTTGCTGTGGTTACCACGGATGACTGAATGAACAAAGGACAGGTGGAGGGCAAATCCACCTGCTGGGGCATCTGAGATGGTAAAACCTGAGTATGTCTGCCTGCCCCTACCCTGCCCCTAAATGTCCCCCTGGGCTCTCCCAAGCAGACATAAAACCAGACCAGCTCACACAAGGTGCCCCAGAATGGCCTCTGCCCCATGTCCCCTGAGCCCAGCACTCCAGAACCCCCTCTGGAAGAGAGCCCTTGCCTTACTCACCGACATCACCAGCACGTAGACACGCAGGTCAAATTTGCGGCCTGTCAGGCAAGGAAAGAATATTTGTGTAGCAAATATTGATTGAATGTCAGGCACTATGCTAGGTTTGGGGGACACAGCAATGGACAGAGATATGACTCCCTGCCTCCATGGTGCTCCCACTAAAAGTAGACAAGGTACAAGGAGAGGGTCCCTGGGGGGGGGGGTCAATGCTGGGGTAAGGTCTGAGACTCGGTGGTCAAGGAGGGACCGATGGGAAGTGGTGACCTACATGATGAGAAAGTGCCTAGCCCAGAGTGGGGTGGGGTCTTTGAACAGGAGAAACTGCATGGGCAGAGGCCCAGGGGGGCATAGGGCTTGGGTCAAGGGTAGAGTGGAAGACAAGGTGAACAAGGTTGGCACCTTTGGGTTTTGTTCTGCAAACCATGGGAAGCCACTAAAGGGTGTCCGATGTCGCTGACTATGTGTTGGAGTGCAGCAGAAGGGATGGCAGTGGGACACCAGTGAGGAGGTCGGCGCAGCTGTCCAGGAAGGAGAGGACAGTGACCAGGACCAGGATGGAGGTGAGAGTGGTGGCCAGACAGATTCAGAGTTGTGTGGAGCTTGGTGCAGAACTGGAGGAGAAGGGAAGAGAGGGTTGCCCCAGAATGTTAACCGGTTCCTGGCTTAGCAACCAGGGGGTACAGGGGCTCTGATCCGGGATGGGAAGCTGGGGAATGAGCCACATTGGGGGGTAGGGTAGAATCTGGGGCATGTTGAGTTTGAGTTGCCAGCAGATGCCCAAAAGGGGATGTCACAGACTGTTGGACATCAAAATTTGGGGCTCAGGGGCAAGGTCTCAGCTAGAGACAAAAAGCTGGGAGCCAAGAGAGGAGAGGGGAGAAGAGACCCAGGGACTGCCCTCCAGGGATGGTGACTACCTGAGGAGGTGGGTGGAGGCAAGTGGCATTAACATCACTGCAATGATGCACCTGCGCAGCGCCTGCCCCTCTCAGACAAGACCCCCGAATCACGCCCCTTCTCACACACGCCTGCCGTGTCTGTAGTCCACAGACCCCGTGTGCCTGGGGAAACCTGCCAAGCCTTCAGAGGAGGCTCCCTTACACCTTGAGGGCTTTGCCCTTGCAGGTCACTTTCCCTGCATTCCTCTCCCTCCAAATCTACATGCAAGTGGCTCCTAATTGTCATTCGAGTCTCAGCTCACATGTCACCTCCTCAGAGGGGCAATCCCTGATCCCCACATCACTCTGTCCCATCACTCTGCTTGATATACTTCATAACACCCACCACTGTGTGGGATAGTTTTATTATTTTATTTTATGTATGGTTTTCTGGTTTATTGCAGTCTTCCCATCTGGAGTATAAGATCCATACAAGGAGAGCAAGGTGGGCAGCCAGCAGCCAGGACAGTGGCTGGCACCAAGCAGGCTCTTTATAAGCATTTGTTGGATCAATACATGAATGAATGAGTTGGTTCTCAAAGGAGAAGTTTCATGAACAAAGAAGGGAGCAGGAAGGGCATGCCAGCCAGAGGGGAATTGTAGGGGCAATGGCTATGAGGTGGCAGAGTGCAGGACAGATCTCACCTTGGCATTCTTTCATGCCTGGTGTCAGGCTGGGCCCTTGGCAGGCTGCTAGTCAAGGCTTGTTGACTGACTGACTGACTTGTTCAGTGGAAGGGCAGGGAGCAGAGACAGTCATCTCACCTCCTATCAGGTAGGGATTTTCAATGTAACGCTGGGCCACATAGTTCTCCACGGGAATCTCATCTTTCTGGTCATCAGAACTTCTCGTGTCCTACTTGTCATAATAACAATTGTTAACATTTATTGAGCATTTACTAGGCATTGTGTCAGGCACTCTACATGGTGTATCTCATCGGATCCTTAAATCAACCCTATCAGGTAGTACTAATGCTATTCCCATTTTACAGATGAGAAACTGAAGCACAGAGAAGGAAAGTGACTTGCCCAAGGTCACACAGCTGGTCAGTGGTACAGCTGGGATGTGGATCCACACAGTCTGGGCAGAATCTGAGCATTTACCCTTTAGACCTGTCCTGCCCAATAGGGCAGCCACTGGTCACATGTGGCTGTTTACATTTACATTTAAATTGATTAAAAGTAAATGAAGTTATGTACTACGACATGGATGAACCTTGAAGACATTGTGCTAAGTGAAATAAGCCAGACACAAAAGGACAAACACTATGATTCCACTTATATGAGGTGCCTAGAGTAGTCAATTCACAGAGACAGACAGTAGAATGGTGGTTGCCCGGGGTTGGGGGGAGGTGGAGTAGGGAGTTAGCATTTAATGGAAACAGGGTGTCAAATGGGGAAGATGAAAAAGTGCTGGAGATGGATGGTGGTGGTGGCAGCACAACAATGTGAATGCACTTAATGCTACAGGACTGAATACTTAAACATGGTTAAAATGGTAAATTTTATATTATGTATATTTTACCAAAATCTAAAAAAGGAAGTGAAATTTAAAAAATCCAGTCCTTTAGTCACACCAGCCACATTGCAGGCACTCAATATCAACATGTGGCCAGTGGTAGCTGCACTGGAGAGCACAGATATACACCATTTCCATCACTGTAGAAAGCTCTGTGACAGTGCAGTCTGGACCATCCCTAGGGCCCCCAAGGGCACACCTCTCCCTTCTCTCCCTGCCAGCCCAGCCCAGGAAGAGAGCAGTGCCCTCACATACATGCACAGCATCTCACAGTCTGCAAAGTCCTTTCCCACCCCTTGTCCCCTTCAGAGTAACCTTGTAAGGAAACAAGGTCCAAAGACATGGGTCACACACTTGGTGGGGTCACACACCAGCCCAGTGGCAGGGAGCACTGGAACTCAGGGCTTCTGGCTTCCAGGGCAGATCTTCTCCACCCACCATTGCTCCCCTCCTTGGCAGCCAGGCCTTGCCATCCTGGGACCCCAGCCCACCCCCACCTCTACTCACATGGCTGCTGGTGGGATTGACAGCACTCTGGGTGGGCTGGGCCTCCATGCTGGTGAGCTTCTTCCCGGCAGTGCCCTGACAGTTTCACAGAAGGAATCAGGACACGAGTAGAGGGGGAGATGCATTCATTGAGCACCTGCTGTGAGCCTGCTGCTGCAGTAGGTGCCGGTCCTGCAGAAGCTGGATCGTCCTGCTCCTCCCACCCACCCTGCACCATGATCACCACTAATGTTCAGAGGGCTTAGGTCATTTTCCCCAGCCCACGCAGTTGCTGAGTGGCAGAGGCAGGATTTGAACTAGGATTCCTATGGCCGTGACTTGGGACAAGGACGAGGTGGGGAGAGGGAAGAAGCTTCCCTTGAGGCTCAGTCTAAGTCCTGGAGGGGCAGTCCATCAGCCAAACTCTCCCCAGCTAGGGCAGCAGGAGCCCAGATAAAGAACATGTGCTGAGCACTTACCAAGTGCCAAGCGCTGTTCTTGGGTTATAGGTTTATTAGCTTGTTGTGTCCTTGTCCTTGGCAGCTACGATTACTATCCCCATTTACTGGGGCACCGAGAGGTAAAGTAACTTTCCCAAAGTCACACATCCATGGAGTGGCAAAGTCAGGATCTGAACCAGACAATCTGGCTTCAGAGACCCCTGCTCCTAGGGACTGGCCTGTGGGCAGAGCCTCTCTGCCAGTCCTCTGAACGCCTCTGAACTTTGAGGGAAAGAAGGAGGGGCCCCTCCTGCTGGCAAGGGTGGAGGAGGGTTCGGGGAGGAAGGAGAAGAGGAAGCTCACCTTCCTCCAGTCCATGACGTCCTTCAGCCTCCGGAAGAGGAAGATGCCCTTCCCCTGCGAACGGGCCACCTGGAGGGAGTGAGGAAAGGCCAGCTCTTGGCTCTGCGTGGTTCTTTGTCGGCCCCTGTGCCTGGGGCCCCTCCGCAGCATTCCTCTGTCTCCGTCTGCCCTGTGGACCCCGAGCTATCCCTAGAGGAACGGCCCAGCTCAGCCCTGAAGGGGCTGGAACAGAGAAGGTGCTAAATACAGCAGAGGGAGAGGGACAGAGAGAGGAAAGTGAGAAACTAGCTCACAAAGACATACATTTGCATGAATAATGCAAAAGAACAGACAATTAAAAACCCATTTTGAACAGTCCTGGGAACATATTATCCAATTCTTTTTTTGGAAACCAATTTGCCTTCCTAATTAGGTTTTACTTCAGCTAATATTGAAATCAGTCTGCCTTTACTGAACCCTAGCATGGATAATTCATAGCTTCACAGAGCTAGGGGCTGGAGAATCTTTAACATCCTGCAGAGTGGTTCTCACCAAAGGCATTAGTCCCTCCTGTGAGAAGTGGTCTGCAACGGTCCTTCTACAACGGTCACCTGCCTGGCCTCGCACACCCACAGTGTGCAGAAGCTCACTACCCTCTCCCTACCCTCCAAACACAGCCCATCTCTTTGCGAGATAGCTTTGTTAAGCAGTCACCCAAGAGGTATATATTAGGTGCCTACTGTGTGCTGGGCATCTTGCTATAGCACTAACTCAGATCTCAAGGAACTTTCACAGCCTAACCTGTGTTGAACTAAAATTTGCCAGTCTGACTCTGGCTTCTAGAGCCTCCTAGAACAAATCTGATTCCTGGATACCAGAACAGCTCTTAGTTATCTGCAGCCACTAAACAGGTCCACTTGAGTCATCTTTTCTCCAGCATAAATGCACCCAGCAAGTGCAAATTCTCGTTTCCCTCTGTTCTCCTCTGCTGCCATGCTGTGCACCCTAGTTCAGGGCTGCACGTGCCCAGAAGATGGAGTGCCCAAAAGACTATGGGGCACTGATGGTGGCTCAGGGGCAGCCACATGTGAACAGCAGTTTTGGAAAGCAGCTGATCAGTGTGCATTGAGGACTCCCAACAACCCACAGCCTTGCAAAAGACTCAGACATTTCACGAAAGAAGATTATCCCATGTTAACATATGAGCAGGCACCCCACTTCGTTAGTCACCAGGGAGATGCAAATGAAAATCACACTATAATACCACTACACACTCCCTGAGAATGGCTAAAATTAGAAACAGACAATCCTAAGTGCTGATGAGGATGTGGAGAAACTGGCACTCTCACACATTGCTGCTGGGAGTGTACACTCTTTGGAAACTGGTAGCATCCACTAAAGCTAAACATAGTTGCCCCCTATAATACCACCCAGCAATTCCTCCCCAGGTATCTACACAACAGAAATGTGTGCACGTGTGCACCCATGGACAGGGACAGGGACGTCCATAGCAGCACTATTCATAACAGCCCCAACCTCAAAACTCCCGAGTGGTTAAAGATTCACCCAATGGAATAGGATACAACAATGACAATTAACAATTTACAATTACCCACATCGGTAGGATGAATCACACAGATGTAATGTTGAGGGAGAGAAACCAGACATAATGACTCCAATTATATAAAGTACAAAAGCATCAAATAAAAGGGGAAAAAAAGGAAGAATAATTAATTAATTAAAAAATAAAGTATCAAAGCACACAAACAAATCTATGCTGTTGGCGACTTGGGGGGTGGTGAGTGGAGAGGGTTTGCGGGGAGGAGTTGCTGCTGAGGAGCCGGTAATGCTCTGCTTATGATCTAGGTATTGGTCACTTGGTGAAAGTTCATACTGTACCCCTATAATTTGGGCAGTTATCTATGTTTTATAAAACTTCAATTAAAAAGTGTTTTTTAAGCTTCATACCTTTTGATCTAGGAACCACCCCCACCCCCGTTGGTTGCCTTCCCTGTAGCTACTCTGCTTCCACTTTTTCTGTGCTGGCAAAGCCCACCTCTCATGATGGAGGCTGGAAAGGCCAGACACCGGTTCTCCCAGCTTCCCTTGCAGCTGGTGGAAACCATGTGACCAGTTTGGGCCAATGAGACCTAAGAAGACATCTGCTTGGAGATTCTGGGAAAGATTTTCCTCCTTATTAAAAATATTAAGGTGGCCCCATACCAGCCAGCTGACAAAAAAAAAAAAAAAAAAAAAAAAAAAAAAGAAAGAAAAAGAAAGAAAATTAAAATTAAGGTGGGAGGGGGAGAGGGAGAGAGAGAGAAATAGGAAGAAATAAGAAATGCCTGTCTCCTTTGCTTCTTTCTTTGAATTCTACAGTCTGCGGAGGTGGTGCCCACAACTACAGCAGCCATTTCATATCCAACAGATGACAACAGGCCAACACACTGAGGATGCAGAGTGGACAAAAAGAAGGAGCCTGGACCTTTAATGGCATCCTTGAACATATCCCTAGACCTGGAACTGCCTACCTCCAGCTTTCTTGTTATATGAGGTAATAAAATGCCTTTATTGTTTAAACCATTGTTAGTAACTTGACATGCCTATTCCAAGAGGTGCCCTCCTAAGGGAATAATCCTAAAGAATGAAAAATAAACTTCCGATATACTAATGTATCAAGGTGATTAAGATTAAAATCACCTAATACCTAGCTCCAGCAGACAGTAGTTTCCAAAAATAATCACACTATTTCCAGTCACGTATGTTCTCCAGAACCCAATCAAGGGGTAAAGTCAATGTCCCCTCCCCTTGAATCTGGGTGAGCCTTTAGGACTGTCTCGAGTAACTGCGTAGGCAGAAGTGATATGTGAATTCCAATGCTGGGTCATAAACCTTCCCTGTCAAGCACTGCCCAGACTGGAGGCTCCTGAGCTAAATAAGATACTATTGTTCTTTCAAGTCACTACATTTTGGGGGTAGTCTGTCACTCAGCAACAGATAACTGGAACACTAACTTTAAGAGAATGGTTCATAACAATGGTAATAGCAGCAGCTAACACTTAGATATTTACTCTGTGCCAGGCACAGGGACTTACATGCATTACTGCACTAAAGCTCTAAAAAAATCCCCTATGGCATAGGCATTAATATTATCCCCACTTTGCAGCCGAGGAAACAGATAAACAGAAAAGCCAAGCACATTGTCCAAGGCCACCCAGCCAGAGATAACAAATTCAGGATAGTAGAATCTGTGCTGCACAAACCTGGGGACATTGTAACTTTTGCAGAGTGTCAGGGGTGACACAAAATCACATGACAAACATGATGCTGCTTCTGGGAGTATCTATCTTACTTGATAATTTGGGAGGAAAATATTTTTACATTGTGCTTTTTATAAAAAGATATGTTTTGGTTGGAAAATAATATTTGAACAGATTATTAAAATAAACCATAGGGCCGGCCCGGTGGCGCACTGGATAGTGCGCCGCTTGGGAAGCGCGGTGGCGCTCCCGCCCGAGGGTTCGGATCCCACATGCAGACCGGTTCCCGCTCACTGGCTGAGCGAGGCGTGGGAGCAATACCGAGGGTTGCAATCCCGTTGCCGGTCCCCGGTCCGGTACGGGGGCAACACTGAGGGTTGCGATCCGTTGCCGGACACGGAAAAAGACAAAAGACAAAAAATAAAATAAAATAAAATAAAATAAACCATAGCTTTGATTTTGTACTACCTTTGACCACCTTGTCCTTGTCCCTTTGTCACCCCTTGGCCTGTCTCTGGGGACCACATTCATCATGTGGCATTCACTGGGTGGCTTCATTGGGTGTTGAATGCAGTCGGTGGCCTCCTGTGCAGCCATTGCTTCTTCCCCACCAACAGATCCCCACTGGGATCAACTCCTCCCAGCGGCCCTGCCCTCTGGGGACGTCTGAGCCCTCATGGTGGACCCATGCCCCCGCCATGTGGTTGGTTCAGGCATGGACCAGCGGGATGCCAAGGGAAGGCTGCTGCAGGGACCTGTGGGAAGAGTTTGTGTCTTCTTCAAAAGGGCCACAAGACCAGAGCTTTCCTTTATTCCCAAGGCAGCTAGAGATGTGAGGAGGCGAAACTGGAGCCACAGCAGCCATGTTGTAACCGAGAGGAGTGGCCAGCTGCTGGGCTGGGAACTGATGGTGCTGAGCCACCTGATAAGCATACCTGGGGTCAACCTTTCTTCAATAAAGGAAGTTCCCCAGGGTCTGTGAACTTAAATTAAAAAAAAAAAATTCACCTTTATTTTCACTCAGCCCTAACCAGATTTTTGCATTTCCTTCTACTATGAATGCAGGCAACAAATCATAGGCATATTAGCCATGCCTGTGACTTTGCCATCAAAAGAAGTCACGGTTATTTTTCTATCACATTATAATTGTTGTGGGTATCTCAAAATATTGCTTATGCTCCTCATGCCTTTGAAATCATGGTAGCTATGGGGCCTGCTGTTAGACTCTGTTTAATTGTTAATGAAAAGCACGTATATTACTACAGCACAAAACATCTCTCATCGTTTGTGTGGAGAATGCACATTGCAGGCCTCCAGCTACAGGACAGTCATTGACGGAGAGTGCCAGCTGCTGCGTGCTGAGCTCCATGCTGTGCCCACCAGGCCTCCTGGCCAGTGGCTGTTCTCAGCCCATCAGCCATGTCCAAGCAGGGGGCATATGAAGACTGACCCATCCTGAGAGACAGGGGACACCATCGACAGCCAGCGTTGGCATGAGGCCTTCCTGTGGCTTTGCTGGACCTTAGGCTGCTCAGCAGCAGGAGCTCCCTCCCCCGCTTCCTTTTTTCCTTTCTTCTCTCCCTCCCTTCCTTCCTTCCAGCAAAACTCTGGCATGTTTAATCTTGTCTTGGCATCTGTTTCTTGGAGGACACAGGCTAACAGTCTTTTTTTTTTTTTTAAAGATGACCGGTAAGGGGATCTTAACCCTTGACTTGGTGTTGTCAGCACCACACTCTCCCAAATGAGCCACGGGCCAGCCCCTAACACAGTTTTGATAACTGTTTTTCAATATAATTGCTTTCTTTTATAGTGAAATATACTTTATTTTATGCTTTTATTTATTTTTGGGGGTGGCTGGTCAGTTCAGGGATCCAAACCCTTGACCTTGGTGTTACAACACCGAGCTCTAACCAACTGAGCTAACCAGCCAGTCCCTATTTTATGCTTTTAAAGCCATTGTTCTTTCCCAGATGTATACTAATTTCTAAACACATTAGATTGGGTACATTAAATATGTACAATTTTTTGTATGCCGATTATATCTCAATAAAGTGGTTTTAAAGAAAAAAGGACCACTATTCTGTGATGGGGTCCGTACATTTCAGCAGATGCCAAAGAGGCCCATGGTATAAAAATATTTCAGAACTTCTGCCCTCTTGTTTAAGCAATTGTTGGTTGGGCTTTCTATTACTTACTGACCAAGGCATCACAACTCTTAAAAGTTTTCGGTGAAAAAGTTCAAGAAGCTCTGGTTGGGGTACACTAGCATCACCAAATATTAACATGTGGCTCTTCTGTCTTGCAGACTGGACAGAGACCCCCACCGCTGAGAGCAGCCCAGTGGATTCCTAGGACACTCCACCCTGTGTGAAGTGTTACACTATCTCAGGGACACACAGACAGACTGACGGAGGTCCCCTGACAGCCCAGCACCTGCCTCGATCACCACCAGGGAGGCTGGAGGAACAAATGGTCCCCAAGGTCTGTGTCTTGCCCACCTCCCCACCAACCCAGCAGGCCTGAGCTGCTTGGAGGTGAGGCCGCTTATGTGGAAAAAAGTTTGATTACTAGACTGGACTTTAAATGCCTGACCCAAGGGCCTGCTCTTCCATTCCCCAAGAGTGATGGCAAAGCTCTGAGATGGAAGAGGGTCCCCACAGGATGGTGTAGAGAAGACGACACAACTCGACCCCTCCCTGGGCTGCTCTGCCAACACTGGAGGGGAAGACGAAGGCTCAGCAGACTCCAGGGAACCGTGCAGAACAGATGCCAAGTGCTGCCCTGCGACTGGCCCGGCCACAGCAATTATGTGAACACTTTTGCCTGGAGGTGGACAAGGACCAGCTGGGGCACAAAGACAGGCCTTATGGGTAGAGCAAAGGGATTCAGGGACTTTCTCCCCGCTATGCTCTAAATTTAGGTACCATTCTATTTTTTTAACACTCCTTCCTCCCCAAAGAAATCCAAATAACATCCCAGAACTAATACTCTAACCCAGCGGTTCTGAAAGTATGGCACCTGGTAGCACTCTCATAACCTGATGTAATGGTTAATTTTGGTCAGAGTATGGTGCACGGGTGTTTGGTCAAATACTAGTCTAGATGTTTCACTGAAGGTATTTTGTAGATGTGATTAACATCTAGAATCAGTAACTTTAAGTAAAGGATATCACCCTTGATAACGTAGGTGGGCCTCTTTCAATCAGTTGAGGGGTTAAGAGCGAAAACTGAGGTTTCCTGAAAAACAGGCAATTCTGCCTCAAGACGGTAGCATAGAAATCCTGCCTGAGTTTCCACCCTGCAGATTTCAGACTTGCCAGCCCCTGCAACATTGCATGCTCCAATTCCTTAAACACACACACATACCCTAATGCTTTTCTGGAGAACCCTGGCTGGTGTACTTGGGAACTTGTTAGAAACGCAAATCTTCAGGCCCCTCCCAGGCCTACTGACTCGGACACTGGGGGTGGGGTGCTTTAACGAGCTCTCCAGGAGGTTGTGCCGCACACTCAAGTCTGAGAACGGCTGCTCTATGACCTCCATTCTCAGAGCGGATCCGTGGACGAGCGCCGCCGGCTTCCCTGGAGAGCTGGTTAGAAACATGGATTTGCAGATCCCGCCCAGATCTGCTGACTCAGGCTCTGCATTTTAACCAGATCTCGGATGATACGATGATACGTGCACGCATTCAAGTTTGAGAAACATTGACCTGGTACTTTCCCAGAGGCAGGGAGAGGAGAGGGTGTTTCCTGGATTCTCAGAAATAACAATAAAATGGCCAATGATTGGTCACCTAATGCCAACCCTTTATATAATTTGCATAATTCATGTACTTAACATGTATAACTATTGAATTCTCTCAACCCTGTGGGGTAGATTCACTCATTAATTCCACTTTACAGATGAGGAAATGGACTTAGAGGGACTTGGGGTTGCGTAACCTGCTCAGGCTCATGTGGCTCGTAAGTGGTGGATACAGAATTAGAGCCCAGGCCAGTCTGATTAGGAGCACCCACTCTCCACACCCCGCTCCAGACAGGGTGCCTTGCTACTGGGGGAGAGCGCGCACACAGAGCCAAGATTCCTCCTCTTAATTACAGCCGTTGTTGTGTCTGCCGCCAACAAAGGCCGTGGGCTGGGAAAGGAATCAACTTAATATGCGATTGCTGTTCCCAATTAGCACAAATTACCATTTGTCTGGGAGGATAATGCTGGGAGCTGGAATCCGCCCCTGGTGGGTCACAGCGTTCATATGCCTAATTCCTTCTGCTCCAGCCAGAGCCCTCCCCGTTGCGCCTTCCTTCTGGGACACAGGAGAGGCGGGAGGGGCCTGGGAAAGAAGCAGGGAGAAGTGGATATGTCCTGGGATGTGTCCTGGCTCAGTCCCCGTTGGGAGTTATCTGTTATTTTTGTCTGCCCTGAGTCGGTTCCTCCTTCAAGCCCCTGTGCCATTGGCTAAATCTGCATCAGCCAACACCGGGTTCCAGTCTTCAGCTCTGCAAGGAAGGGCTGCTCCCTCCTCCTCCCACCTCTCTTCCTGAGGCCTGGCACATTCTCAAGCCTGGAAAACATAGGGGGCTTTGATGATGCCATTCGAGGCTATGGTGGCACATGGCTTTGTGGTGAGAGACTGGCCCTGGCACGAGGAAGGGCTGAGTGACTGGTAGGTGCTCTGCCACTCTCATCTTTCACTTAGTTTCTTGATCCTTGAAGGGCTACCTCCTGATGCCAGGCCTTTGTTCACACAGTTCCCTCTGCCTAGAATGCTCTTCCCTATGCCCACCCTTTTCCAGGCCAACTCCTATGCATCCTTCGGGTTGCAGCTCAGTACTAATTCTTATGATAATATCAACAACTATCACTTATTGAGTACTTACTATGTGCTTTACCTGTTAACTCATTTAGTTACCCAGCAACACTATGCAATAGCTACTACAGTTATCCCACTTTGCAGATGGGGAAACTGGGGCACAGAGAAGTTAAGTGATCTGCCTGAGGTCACACAGCTAGTAAGTGGTACGGCTAGTATTTGAACCAAAGGGTTTGGCCTCAGAGTCCAATCTCTCACTTCAGAGAAGCCTGCCTGGCTGGGGAGATCCTCCTGTGGTTCCCTCTGCTGATGCCACTCTCCTAACACTCAGCATAGCTGTTACCACGCGCACAGCCTCTGCGTATTGTCTGCCCTCAAGGAGGGAGAGACCACTCTGACTTGCTGAGGGCTGTATCTCCAGTACCTAAGTCAATGAGTGTTTGTGGAATGTTTGAATATACAGGCCTCAGGCTCTTCATCTTTAAAATAGGTCTGGTAGGGGCCGGCCCAGTGGCGCACTGGATAGTGCGCCGCTTGGGAAGCGTGGCGGCGCTCCCGTCCGAGGGTTCGGATCCCACATACAGACCGGTTCCTGCTCACTGGCTGAGCGAGGCACGGGAGCAACACCGAGGGTTGCAATCCCGTTGCCGGTCCCCGGTCCGGTACGGGGGCAACACTGAGGGTTGCGATCCGTTGCCAGACACGAAAAAAAGACAAAAAAAAAAAAAATAGGTCTGGTAATACCTCCCACAAGGGTCATTATGAGGACTGGGGTAATGAGGTTAAAGTACTTGGCAGGGCCTGGCCACTGTTTTCTTGCGTGTCATGAGGAGACACTCTGGCTTCCTTGCCCTGTGTCCTTAGGATCACTTGTACATTTGGTAAACACTTAGCACCTACTGTGTGCCAGCAGTCATAGCTGCTGGGTCTACGTGCAGAAGGCAGACAGTGCATCTAAGGCTGAATTCCCAGGCCCAGTCTGGTCCCGCGATGGGCCATGAAGGATCCCTGCTCTGGCGCCCGGACTCCTCCCCTTGCCGCCCTCCGGCCTCCCCTGCCCCCACCCCTGCCATCCCCAGCCCCTGGCACTGGGCACTCACAGGCTTCATGATCCAGGTGATTCCTGGGTTTTTGCGAAACTCCTCCACAAACAGGTGGTACTCGCATGGCATCTCAAAGGTTTGGGGGAAGAAGTCGCACTTGGCTGCCTCCAGCTTTCCCGCCTCACGCTCCAGCTGTTTCCGGAACCGCTTCAGATTCTTTACCATGTAGTTCTTGCGGGTGAGCTGGCAGGAGGATGGGCAGGGCCGGCCATCGGCGCCCCTGCTCACCGCCCTCTCCCTTTCCCCAACAACCATCCCACTGATTCATCCCGCCACCAGCCTCCATTCTGCAGCCCACAAAATAACAGTACGAGCGAGAGTGACTGAGAGCCTCTAGTCTATAATTATCCCCACCTCACAGGCGAGGGGACCAAGGCTGGGAAAGGTAACCATCCAACCAACGGACAGCACAGACGGGGTGTGACCCGGGCCTGCCCACCTCCAAAGTTCATGTTTTTAACCACTAAGCCACTCTGACCTTAAACATCTCCCACCACTGGTTCCTTCAGTCCCATCTTTGTGGTTCAGTTCCTCCTAAACCTTCTTTCCATCTCTAGACCCCAAACTTCTCAATGTGCCTCCACCCTAAAATTACCACAATCCCCCAAGCATCGTGCTCCTTTGGTCCTTGCACACCCAAACCAGCCTGCCTCTCACATGTCTAGTGCTGAAATGCCAACCAGTCTGTGACCTCAAGTCCCTTTCCCAAGACAGCCTGCTCCTCAGACCTTACACCCTCAAACCATGTAGGTCGTCATATATTTAGTTCACGTATTCCCCACCTGGCATGTACCCCAAATTCCCTTACACTTTCCATTCTGGTCCTTGTACTCCCCAAAGCAACTCCTGCTCATTGGCACACCCAGTGACCTGAGTTGCTTAGCTCAGTCCCCACCAGCCTGCCCAGCTTACCTCATAGTGGTTCCGGAAGTGACTGATCCGCACGTGCTCATCCATGTAGGTGTGGTCGAAGTTCTCCCGCAGCCAGCTGACATCACACCAGTAGAAATCCCACTCCCCTTCGCTGGGGGTGGGGGGGACAAAGGTCATGACCTGAGGACCTCAGCACTGCTGGGGGGGGTCTGTGACCCAGGGAGGCACAGGTGAGGAGGCTTGAGAAAGGGTACACAGCAGTGTGTCCATTAGGAGACCAGAATGAAAACTAGGGAAATGTTCCTACAGAAGTCCAGGTTGCTGGCTTCACTGAACTATGAGCAGCAGTCTAGCCGCACTGAGCCCAGAGTGCCCCCTGGCACCAATCGGCTGGACTCAGGAGCTGCCACTGCTTCCGACAGGGGATGCCCTCTCCAGACCACATTCCCTACCACTCCCTGTGGTCTGTGAAAACCAGCCAGCCTCACCTGGTCATGCTACTGGCCACCCTTTCCAGTTCACAGAGCTCTCCAATCACTAAATCCTCAGAGCAGCCCCAAAAGGTGACTGATTATCACAGAGCTCTAAGACAATGGCCTTTCTCACCAAAGACATGGCAGCACCAGGACTCATTCCCAGCTCTGCCAGACTCCAACTTCTGCCCTGTTCTTCACCACCATGCCAGGGAGAGGGACGGGAAACCAGACTAACCTACCAAATCTGGGTACCAGAGCTGGGGTGCAGGGAGGAGGTGCTCGGAAAAGATGCAAGAGGAAGCAAAATACCACCACCGTGATTGCTTCCAATTCTTTTCAAGTAAAAAATTACAGATATACCTGAAGCCCCCTGTATATCTCTGCCTAATTCTATACTTCTCTCCTGCTCCAAAAGAAACCATTAGCCTCAATTTGTTGCATGCAGTATCTTTACAGTTTTGCTATGTATATATGAGGGTACTTCAAAAGGTCATTGAAAAATAGAGTTAAAATATAATACAGGTGCTGGCCATCAGCTCAGTTGGTTAGAGTGCAGTGTTATAACACCAAGGTCAAGAGTTCTGATGCCCATAACTGCCAGCTGCAAAATATATATATATATAAAATATATAGTGAATTTATATATAATTTTTTTTTTTTTAAAGATGACCAGTAAGGGGATCTTAACCCTTGACTTGGTGTTGTCAGCACCACGCTCAGCCAGTGAGCGAACCGGCCATCCCTATATGGGATCCGAACCCGGGGCCTTGGTGTTATCAGCACCGCACTCTCCCAAGTGAGCCACCGGGCCGGCCTATATATAAAATTTTTAGATATAAAATTTTATATATAAAATATTAATATATTACATGTTAATATTATATATAATAAATATATATAATATATATTAAAAGTATATATATATAAAATACAAATCTTTCCATTAACTTTTTGAAGTACCCTCATAAGTGTATATCTATACAAAGCACATGGCATTGTTTGACATTTTTTAAAACTTTCTAATTGGTTATACTAATTGCTTACCATGTGCCAGGCACTATTCTAAGTACTTTACAAATATTAACTCATCGATTCTCATAGCCACCCTAAGTGTTAGGTTCTGTTATCATGCCCATTTTATGATGAGGAAACTGAGGCAGGCACACAGAGGTTAAGAAACTCGCCCAAGGGCCGACCCCGTGGCGCACTCAGGAGAGTGTGGCGCTGGGAGCGCGGTGACACTCCTGCCACGGGTTCGGATCCTATATAGGAATGGCCAGTGCACTCACTGGCTGAGCGCGGTGCGGGCTACACTGCACCAAGGGTTGTGATCCCTTACCGGTCACGAAAAAGACAAAAAAAAAAAAAAAAAAAGAAAAAGAAACTCGCCCAAATTCATACAGCTAGTTAGTGACAGAGCAGGATTTGAACTCAGCTCATTGGGCTCCAGAGTCCAAGCTCTGTAATTAAAATCACTCTTACCTGTTTTCTTTCACAAATTTTTTCACCAACCTTTTGCTTTGGAGATTTATCCATTTAATATATATGAGCCTAATTTGGTCATTTGAACTGCCACATTCAATTGCGTTGAGTGAACATACCACAATATATTTATCCATTTTCCTATTAAGAGGTGTTCGGACTGTTCCCTTCACCCCCCTTGCTGATAACACCAAGGTCTGGGATTTGATCTCTGTACCAGCCATCAAAAAACAATAAACCAAAAAAAAAAAAAAAAAAAAAAAAAAAAAAAAAAAAAAAAAAACTTTGGGGGGGGGACAGAGAGTGGGGGAAAAAAGTGGAAAGATAACCCACAAAATGAGGGAAAATATTGGCAAGTCATATCTAAGGTCATAAAGAACTCTTAAAACTCAACAATAGAAAGGCAAAGAACTCAATTCATAAATAGGAAAAGAATCTGAACAGACATTTCTCCGAACATTTAAATGGCCAAAAAAGCACATGAAAAGATACTAAAAACATCATTAGCCATCAGGAAAAGCAAACCAAAACCACAATGAGATACCACTTCACACCCACTAGGATGGCTAAAATAAAAAAAGATGAATAATGACCGTTGGCAAAAATGTGGAAAAACTGGCATTCTGATACATTGTTGGTAGGAATGCAAAATGGTGAAGCCACTTTGGAAAGCAGTCTAGCAGTTCCTTAAAAAGGTAAACATAGAGTTACCATATAACCCAGCAATTCCAGTCCTAGGTACATACCCAAGATAAATGAAAATATGCCACCACCCAAAACTTGTGCATAAATGTTCGCAGCAGCATTATTTTTAATAGCCAAAAAGTGGAAATAACCCAAATGTCCATCAACTAATTAACAAATAAATAAAATGTGAAGTGCCCATAGAATGGAATATTAGTCAGCAATAAAAAGGAATAAAGTACTGATACATGTTACAACATGGATGAGCCTTGAAAACATGTTGAGAGAAAGAAGACAGACAAAGGGTCGTATATTATACCATTCCATTTATATGAAGTCTTTAGAATAGATAAATAGAGAGAAAGTAGATTAGTGGTTGCCAGGGGCTGGAGGGAGGGAGAAATGGAAATGACTGCTAGTGGATACGGGGTTTCTTTTGGGGGTGATTAAAATGTTCTGGAACTAGAGGAAATATTAAAAATTAGAAGAAAAAGGAAAAATTAGTTAGACAGTTTGTTAAAATGGTCAGGTCTAAAAATATAGTAGTAAAATATTTATTTCAAATTGCCAAAAATAAAAAATGTTCAAAAAATAAAGGATGGGGTTGCAAAACCGATCTCTAGATCTCCTTTCCACTTGGACTTTTACTGCCATCACTACCCTGGCATCTGTCACCTGACCAGGAAGACTAGGGAAGTTAGTCAATTCAAGAGCTGTTTTTTGAGGCTCTGTTTTCATTAGAAAATAGTAGCAGCATTTAAGCAATACAAGGGTATGATCTGGACCAATGCATCACTTTTCCCCCAGCCCCAGTGAAAAATCTGGATATTGAATGGATGAATGAATAAATACAGCATTACTTATTCTTTCATTCATCCAACACATATGTGTTGAGGTGGTCTCCATGTCAGAGACAATATCGGGTGCCAGTGATACATGAAGAAACAAAATACCTGGCCAGATGTGTATAGTCCTGTAGAGAAGATTAACAATAGACAAGAGAACAAATGAATAACTATAATGAGGAACTGTGAAATGTGCCACAGAGTAGTCCAGTAGACACCATGAGGCAGGGTGGCTGAGGGACCTGTGTTGGAAGCCACCTGTGGAAATGACATTTCAGTGGAGATCTGAAGGGTGAGGAGGAGCAGCCAGGTCAAGAGCAGCAGGGAGAGGGTCCAGCAGAGGGAAGAACAGAAACTGGGGCCCTGAAGTTGGAAATGATGTGCTCAAGGACATGAAGAAAAGTCAGGTGGAAGTAAAGAGGTCAGAGATGACACGGAAGAGTTGGGCAGGACCCAATCAAGCAGGGCTTGTAGACTGCAATGCAGACCTTGGATACTATTCTGAGACTGAAAATTCATTTATTCACAAACCATCTTCATGTCTGTCACAGTCAAGTTGTTCTCCAATCACCCAGGAAGATACTAGACTGCTCAACAAGGCCAGTGGGGATCCAGATTCCTTCTACCTTCCCATCCTGCCATCCTTAAAATGTTGTCCTCATGCCCATCACCTTGGGTCACAATGTGGTTGCTGCAGTTCCAGCCTTCACGACAGCATTCTCAGCAGGAAGCAAGGGAAGGGACAGCTCTTGCCACAACTGTTCTAAATTCTGACCTGACAGGCCAACAGTCTGAACTGAGACCTGATTCTGTCTAGAAATACCAGACCCCAGGTAGGTCCTAAAGGACAAGGCCTTGGATTCAAGAGCCATATTGGGAAGGGATGGATGAAGGCCCTCGCCTCTGGGCACTTTGTGATTTAAGGACTCTTGAAGCAATCTGGGGTCAGCCATGGAGCATCCTGCTTCATAGACTCCCACACTGTCAGCATCAAACAAGTCCTCAGCCCCTTTTCCACCTGATCATTGAGGAGGGGCAGGGAGTGGCCTGAGATCACACAGCACGTGGGACAGTGCCCTTTCCCATACACCACCCCCACCTGCCAGTCACCTCACTCTCTTCTAACTCACCCCCCAGCTCCTTCCACTCACCTTTCATTACATTAGTTCTTCTGGATCTAGGGAAGGAAACTCATTCTAATATTAGCATGACCAACAGAGAACCAAGAAGACAAATCCGTGGTAGCTGCCATCATCATCATCATCATCACCACTGTTGTAATATTCCCCCAAGTCCCACAGAGAGGACTCTGCTGTCTTGGATCACCTGAACCACAGCTTGCCATGGACAGCCAACTCCTAATTTTTTATGAGACGATTTAGTTAAAATCTGTCTCTCCAGCACAAGGCAGTGGGAATCACAGATTCATAACATTTGCTCATTTGTGCCTTTATTCACTGAGAGGCTGCTAGAATGGGGTGGAGATGAGCCTGTGACTCCATGGACCCCAGCCCTTATGAGCTGAGTGACCTCGAACATGGCATTTTTCACTACTTTGTGCCCAATTTTCTCACTGGTAAGATAGGGATGATAATAGCACCTACCTGGAAGAACTGTTGGCTTGATTAAAAGAGATCATGCATGTAAAGTGCTAATGAGTGCCTAGCAGGCTTAGCTATTGTTACGTGACAAATATTTACTGAGCACCAGTGGCAAGGCAACTGGTTGTCCCTTACCTTTTGTATCCATTCTCCCCTTTTTCTGCAATAATAGATTTCCCAATGTTTACATGGAAAAACGTAGTCTACATCTTCCAGAATAAAGACTACATTTTCCAGATTCCCTTGTAGCTAGGTGTGTCCACGTGGCTAAGTGCCGGCCAGTGAGACGTGAGGGACTTCTGGGTTGTGTCCCTCCAGGGCAGGGCATGCCTTTTCTTGCCTCCTTCCAACCTACTGCTGCTTGGAGTGTGTAGGTAAGGCTGGCACTCCAATTTGGACCCTGAGTTCAAGGGTCTCAGTCAAGGGATAGCAGAGTGGAAAGATGGAAGCAGATGGGCCCTGCGTTTCTGGGGAGCTCCCATACCATCTCTGAACTTCCTACATATGGACCTCAATGGGACAGGTAAATAAACTTCTAGCCTGCCTGAGCCTCTTTTACTTCGGGTCTCCATTTCATCATCCAAACCTTAACCCTAACTAATATTAGCACCTACCATGTACGCTTGTTTGTCCCAGAGCCCTGCATAAAAGAAACGTAGGCTTACAGGTCAAGTGACTTATTCTAGGTCCCAGAACTAGTAAGTGGCCAGGGAAGAGCAGTGCTTGACCTGGATCCATCACTGGAGGACTTGAGCCAGTGGGTCTGTGGTGGCTGCATTTCTTGTTTCTACCAAGAGCCATAGGACACTGTGCAATGGTCAAGCTGAACTGGGTTTGAATCCCACTCTGACATTTATGTGCTTTGTGACCTTAAGCAATTGGCTTAATAACTCTGGACATAGTTATATCTTATTGGATGGTTGTAAGGCTTAAATAAGACAGAGATGGCATCAGTAATGCACCTGACATGTTGTGAGGGCTACATAAATGTTACAACCAATTTGGAACAACTCTAGTGACCACCCAGGGGAACTGGGAGAAAAACAAAGGGAGACAAGCACCTGGGAGACAAAAGGAAGGAGGGACGAGGTTGGGGGTGGGGCACCTTACTCCTTCACTTCCATCCATCCTGGCCTGTGGCGAAGGACGTCCATGAGAGTGTTCACAAGAGTAGTCTTGAACCGGACTGGTGCTCTCTGCTCTCTGCAAGACAAGGCAACACAACACTTGCTCAGGATCAATGATTTCTCTAGAATAGCCCAGGGATAGGAAAAAAGGAGGAAGAAGAAAGGTCAAGCCCCACACCTGGAAATGCCAATTACTGAATTTCAGAATTTGGCTGCATAGCATGACTACACTTAAAATAATCAAATTGAGAATTACAGAATCTTTGAACCACTGAAAAATAGCAATCATCTTTCTTAGTACCTACTATGTGCCAGGCACAGTCTGGTTGCTTTACATGTGCCATGACTCATCCTTATATTAAATGCTAAGTATTTGCAAATATCCTTTCCTGGCATTCATCTGGGAAGATGGAGCAGATGTACTTTTCCCCATTCCTCCTATTAATATAATTAAAAACCCAAGACATTTGACATAAAACAAACAGAACGGGCTGGCCGATTAGCTCAGTCGGTTGGAGCACGATGCTGATAACACCAAGGTTCAGGTCCAGGGTTTCATCTCTGTGCCAGCCAGCTGCTAAAATCAATTTTTTTTTTTTAATAAAAAAATAAAACAAATATAAGAAGGCTGAAAGGTAGAGAAGAGGCAGATTGGCTAGGAACCCAGGACCAAAGGAACAACATTTTTTTTTTTTTTTTTAAAGATGACCGGTAAGGGGATCTCAACTCTTGGCTTGGTGTTGTCAGCACCACACTCAGACAGTGAGCGAACTGGCCATCCCTATATGGGATCCGAACCCGTGGCCTTGGTGTTATCAGCACCACACTCTACCGAGTGAGCCACGGGCCGGCCTCAAAGGAACAACATGATGGTGAGTTTCTTAGGTTTTCTTTTTGCCCCATATATCCCAGATATGGAGATTAAAAAAACCAGCAATTCAGAAATGCTAAAGGGCACAGACCAAAAAAGCTCCAACAAAAGCCTGCTCTCTCTAGCAAAGGCCCAAGAAAGGAACAACCTAGCAAGACAGAAGACAGACAATAACTGCTCTACACCAGCCAAACCCCATGAAAAACATCTGTGACCCACCTCCACTTACACCAGCAAAGGCCAGGTGGGGAGTCTAGACTTCCCTTGAGGTTGTAACAAAGCATCTCAACACCCCTGCTGGATGGCAGCAGAGAAGGCCAAAGACAGTGCTGGGCTTTCATCCCCACCAGGTGGTAATGATGCTCCCACCCCTGCTGTGTCCATGGATGCCATGGGTGGAGCATGGACTTCCTCCCCAACCTGGCAGTAATGAGGTGCCCCTCCCACTCTGGGTGATGTCAAAGGAGGCCTAGTGGAGAGTAGAAATCAATAAAATCAAAAATAGAAAAACAATAGAGAAAGTGAAACAAAAGCCTAGTTCTTTGGAAAGATCAATAAATTGACAAATCTATTTGTGAGCAAGATTGACAAAGAAAAGACAAAATTACCAGTATGAGGAATGAAACAGGAGAGACTACTACAGACCCTGCAGAAATCAAAATGACAATAAGGGAATACTACTAACAACTCTACACACCAAAATTTGACAACTTAGATGAAATGGATCAATTCCTTGAAAAGCTCAAATTATCACAACTCACCCAATATGAAATAGGTAGTTTGAATAGCTCTATAACTATTAAGGAAATTGAATTCATAATTTTAAAACTGTCCAAAAAGAAATCTCCAAGCTCAAATGATTTCACTGGAGAACTCTCCCAAACATTTAAAGAATTAGTACCAATTCTATACAAACTCTTCCAGACAATAGAAAAGGGAGAACTTCTGAATTCATTTCATGAAGCTCATATTAACCTGGTATCAAAACCAGACAAAGACAGTACACAAGAAGAAAACTACAGACCAATATTCCTTATGAATTTGGATGCAAAAATCCTTAACAAAATATTGGCAAATGGAATTCAGCAATATATAAGAAGTATACACCATAACAAAATGGTTTACCAGTAGACAAGGCTGGTTCAGTATTAGAAAATCTATCAATGTGATCCATCATATACACAGACTAAAGAAGAAAGATTACATGATCATATCAACTGATACAGAAAAAGCATTTGACAAAACTAAACACTCATTTATTTATTTTTTTTTTATTTTATTATTTTTTTTTTAAAAGATGACTGGTAAGGGGATCTCAACCCTTGACTTGGTGTTGTCAGCACCATGCTCAATCAGTGAGCTAACCAGCCATCCCTATTTAGGATCCAAACCCGTGGCCTTGGTGTTATCAGCACCGCACTCTCCCGAGTGAGCCACGGGCCGGCCCTAAACACTCATTTATGATAAAAACTCTCTGAGGGAAGTTCTTCAACTTGACATGGTGCATCTAAAGAACCTCTAGCTAGGGCTGGCCCATTAGCTCTGTTGGTTACAGCGTGATAACACCAAGATCCAGAGTTCCATCCCTGTACTGGCCTGCTGCCAATTAAAAAAAAAAAAAAAGAACCTCTATGTAATGCTATAATTAATGGTGAAAGACTGAATGCTTTTCCCTAACATCAGCAAGAAAGCAAGGATATCCACTCTCACCACTTACTCAACATAGTACTGGAAGTCCTGGCCAGTGCAATAAAAAGAAATAAAAGGGGCATAGTTCAGAAAGGAAGAAAACACTGGGATGATACCAAGCAGTCTAACATACAAGGATACTTCAAAAAGTTCATGGAAAAATAGAATTAAAAGATAACATGAATCTTTCCATGAACTTTTTGTAGTACCCTTGTACATGTAATTGCAGTCCCAAAAAGAGGTAGGAAAGAGAACAGGACAGAAAATATTTCTGAAGAAACAATGGCTAAAAGTTTTTCCAAACTCAGTTAAATTATCAAACCACAGATCCAAGGAGCCAAATTAACACCAAGCAAAATAAACAACAAAAAACACACCAAGGCAAACCATAGTCAAATTGCTGAAAACCAGAGAAAAATCTTAAAAACAGCCAGGGGAAAAAAAAGACACCTTACAAACTGGGTGTGTGTGTTGGGGGTGGGGACAGTTAAGGTGGACGGAAGAGGGTAGGGCTGGGGAGATCACAGGAGCCTCAGCTGACTTCTCTAAGCTGGAAGACTAAGCAGCTTCCTCTTTCAAGTGCTTAGAGGAAAAAAAGGTCAACCTAGAATTCCACAGCCAGTAAAATTTTACTTAAAAAATGAAAGTGAAATAAAGACATTTTCAAATAAACAATAGCTGAGAACACTTATTGCCAACAGATCCACACTATAAGAAACACTAAAGAAAATTCTCTGGGGTGAAGGAAAATTATACCAGATGGAAATTCAGACTTACAAGGAGGAATGAGGCGTGGGGTAAACATGAAATACTTTCTTCCGTGTCTAAATTTTTAAAAAACACACAACTAGCTATTTAAAACAAATATAATAGGAATGTAATGTAGGGTTTATAATATATTTACAAGTAAATCCAGGGCAAAAATAGCAACACAGGGCCAGCCCCGTGGCTCAGTCGAGAGAGTGAGGTGCTGATGGCGCTGAGGCCGTGGGTTTGGATACTATATAGGGATGGCCGGTGTGCTCACTGGCTGAGCGTGGTGCAGACAGCACCGAGCCAAGGGTTGCGATCCCCTTACCGGTAAAAAAAAAAATAGGAAAGAGAACAGGACAGAAAATATTTCTGAAGAAACAATGGCTAAAAGTTTTTCCAAACTCAGTTAAATTATCAAACCACAGATCCAAGGAGCCAAATTAACACCAAGCAAAATAAACAACAAAAAACACACCAAGGCAAACCATAGTCAAATTGCTGAAAACCAGAGAAAAATCTTAAAAACAGCCAGGGGAAAAAAAAGACACCTTACAAAAAAAAAAAAAAAAAAAAATAGCCACACAAAGAAGCAGAGAGGAGTAAACAAAAGCATGCTGTTGTAAGTTCTTACATTATACATGAAATGGTATCATATTGATCCAAGGTAGAATGTGATTAGGTAAAAATGCATAGTATAATCCCCCAGAGCCGTGGGTCATGAAGAATGGTCCACGTATTCCTCGGGGTCCCCAACTCTCTTTCAGGGGTCCAGTAATCTCTCATTGTGCCCAATTTATAAAGTAAACTTTATCATAGGTATGTATGTATATATAGGAAAAAACAGTACATATAGCGTTCGGTACTATCTGCAGTTTCAGGCATTCACTGTGGGTCTTGGAAAGTATCCCCCGAGGATAAGGGGAAACTACTATATATGCCCTTAATAAAATAGGTGGATGGGTCCTGTTAACAAAAGTGCTCTTTGTTTTGTTGGGGTGGGGGTGGGCATGTAAGTTTAGGGCCAGGATCTGGAACAGAGCAGAGTTGTTCTGCATAAGAGAGTGAATATTTTGAAATTGGTGGGATACAGTCAGTGTGGAGAGGAAGAAGTCAAAGATGAGTACTGCGTGAGAGAAGGGCCAGAGACCACACATGCCGTGCTCAGTGGTGGTATAGCCGAGAGGGACTTTAGAGAGAAAAGAAATATCCACAGAAATAGAGAATAGAAATATCTAAAATATTTGCTGTGATGCGTGCAGTGAAAACTATCTCCTCTAACTCTCCATAAAAAGTCTTCAGTAAAGTCTACTTTGTTCACTCCTGCTTTGTACAAATGGATTCTGTTTAGGGAATCCAAAGAGGTGCTGAGTTCTGCATCGAGGTTACTGAGGATCAGGACAGAGTTGACATTGGAGTCATCAAGCCCGCACAGGGTTGCTGAAGGAGGCAGGTGAGTATAGTCAGAGGGCGGGCCCTGGAGGCCAACGGGTCTGCCACTAACTCATCATATGACCTTGAGCAAGTCAGTTAGCCTTTCTGGGCTTCAGCTTCTCCATCTGTAAAATGGACACAATAGTAGTATCTACTTCAAAGGATTGTGGGAAGGATTCAATGAGAAAATACAGGTAAAGTTACTAGCCCAGGGCCTGGCACATGGTAAGTGCTCAATAATTGCTTATCATTATTACTACTGCCATTATTATTATCATTATCATTAGTGAAGAAAAGAGAGATGGATTGAGGAAGAGAGGGAAAGAAGGAAGAACGTTAGTTCTGTGGTTTTTGGATTGCAGGGACCACTCACCGCTCTTTTCCCCTTGACAATCCATGGCCCTTGTAATTTTGATTCTGCAATGAGAAAAGGAAAAGGATGTAACTGGTTTTGTATATCAACCTGGACTTCTCAGCTTAACTTACTACAGATAGCAAAATGCTCAAACAATCAGACTCAACAATGCATAGGTCCCGAGACATGAAGTATCCAACCTCATTGGTCACCATGTGCCAGCAAATTGGTCCAGAATTTACTTGCTCTCCTTGGAATAAACTCCCAAGTATCCAAGGGCCCACCTTGCTGTAGGTTTGCTTCACAAGTGTGACCAGTATAGTGAATGCCTGGTTTTCACTGCTACAAAGGTCAACCTTAAACCCCAGTTTTGATAGCTCAGCTCAGCAGTCTCTGTGAGAAGGATCTGTACCTTCTACTCTAATGCTGAGTGTTTGATTAGACCCAGGATCCAGGAGGTTGCTGGGTCAAAGACTCAGAGCAATGTTCATTCCTTTCATCAGAAATGGACCTTTCACATTTTCAGTGGCTAGTAGGTACTGTTGTGTTCCAACCATGTCCAAAACAGCTTGGCCCTCCATTTTGATAAGACTGATCCCTAAGGCACATATGAAAAGAGACATTGAAATTAGTCCCAGGGGCTAGCCGGTTAGCTCAGCTGGTTTAGAATGCAGTGTTATAACACTAAGGTCCAGGGTTCAGATCCCCATACCAGCCAGCCACCAAAAAATAAATAAATGAAAATGACCTTTGCAGCTGAAGAGATCTGCCATCTGTATTAGTTTTCTATAGCTGTGTAACAAATTACCACAAACTTAGTGGCTTAAAGCAATGCAAATTCATTATCTCACAGTTTCCATGGGCCAGGAGTATGGACACAGCTTAGCTAAATCTTCTGCTTGGGTCTCACAAGGCTACAACTCAGGTGGTAGCTGGGGATATGGCTCTCATCTGAGGCTTGAGATCCTCTTCCAAGCTCAGACTGTTGGCAGAATTCAGTTGCTTGGGGTTGCAGACTGAGGTCCCTGCTTACTTGCTAGCTGTCAGCTAGGGACTGCTCTCAGTTCCTAGAGGTTGCCTGCAGTTCCTTGCAGCGTGGCCCCCATAGGCCATTCACAACTTAGATGTTTGTTTTCCTACAGGCCACCTGGACCACATTCCTCTGGCTTCCAAGCTTCCTCCCTCCAAGTCAGCAATGATATAGTGTCTTATGTAATGTGATCATGGTAGTAACTATAAAATGCCATCAAATTCACAAGCTCTGCCCATACTCACAGGGAGGGAATTATACAAGGCATGTACCCCAGAAGTGAGAGCCTTGGGGCCATGTTTGAATGCTGCTAACCACATCATCCTAGCAGTGGAGGGGAATGGAGGATATCACTTTACAAAAGTGTCAGAAGTAATCCTCTGAAAAAGAAGTGAAATCTTATTCCATTCTTCTATTCAAGTCCCTCCAACTCTCTCAGCATTAGTCAAGCTATTCTAGTCTTTTTTAAATTGTACCTCTAATCCTCTCTCATACTTTCAATTCCATTTTCCTTATGTTTACCCAGTTGCTCCAGAGCCATTGGTTGAAAAATTTTTTTCTTCCCTTCTTGGCACTTTTTTTTTTTTCCTTACTGGCATTGGCACATCTGTCAAAATTCAATTGGCCATATGTATGTGAATCTATATCTGGACTCTATTTTGTTTACTTCTTTGCCTATCCTTATGACATTATCACATTTTTTTTTCTTTTGCTTCTTTTTTTTTGGCAGCTGGCTGGTAAGATTAGCTTTCTAGTAAATCTTGAAATCAGGTAGTGTAAGTCCTCCAACATTGTTTTTCTCCAGATTGTCTCTGTAATAAGGGTCCTTTGCACTTCCATATAAATTTTAGAATCAACTTGCCAATTTCTACAGAAAAGCATGTGGGGATTTTGATGGGGATTGCAGCAAATCTACAGATCATTTTGGGAAGAAGTAACATCATGAAGTATTGAGTCTTTCAATCCATGAATATGGTCTATCTCTCCATTAATTTTTTTCCACAATACTTTTTAGCTTCAGTATAGAAGTCTTGCACACTTTTAATTAAACTTGCTCATAGGTATTTGATTTTGTGATGCTATTGTAAATAGTATTTTTAAATTTCATTTTCTAATTATTTGATGACAGTAAATTGTGACAGACAGAATAATGTCACTCCCAAAGATGTCTATGTCCTAATCCCCAGAACCTGTAAATATGAGGGTTCTTCAAAAAGTTCGTGGAAAGATTCATATTATCTTATAATTCCACTTTTCCATAAACTTTTTGAAGTACCCTCTTATGTTACATTACATGGCAAAGGGTAATTAAGGTTGCAGATGGAATTAAGGTTGCTAATCAACTGACCTTAAAATAGATTATTTTGGGTTATCTGGGTGGGCCCAATGTGTTCACAAGAGTCCTTAAATGTGGAAGGATGCAGAAGAGTCAGCATCAGAGTGTCAGAGTGATGCAATGTGAGAAAGACTGTCTGTGAAGACGACCGGGGATCATGAGCAAAGGAATAGGGGCAGCTCTAGAAATTGGAAAAGGCAAGAAAATGTATTCTCTCCTAGATACTCCACATGAGAATGCAGCCCTGCTAACACCTTGAATTTAGCCCAGTGAGACACTTTTCAGACTTCTGACCTCAAGAACTTTAAGATAGTAAGTTTGTTGTTTTAAGCCAGTAATCTTGTGGTATTTTGTTACAGCAGCCACTGGAAATTAACACACATTAGTTCTGGTAGTTTAGATTCCTTTGGGTTTTCTTTGTATACAATTATGTCATCTGTTAATGAAGGCAGATTTACTTCTTCCTTTTCAATATTTATGCTTTTTATTTATTTTTCTTGCTTTACTGCACTGGCTAAAACCTCTAGTACAAGTTTGACTGAAAGTGGTGAGAACAGACATCTTTATCTTGCTCCTGATCTTAAGGGGAAAGCATTCTCTACTTCCACTTTCAAGAGTGATATTAGCTATAGGTTCTACCTATGTATTTCCTACCATTCATTCCCTAGTATTTTGAGGGTTATCATGAATAGGTGTTTCATTTTTATTTCTTTTAAAGCATCTCTTATTACATAATTATTATATAATGCAATCATTATAATGGTCAAAATAATAGTTCTTCAGAAATGTTTAACATTTAGTTCTGCTTGACACTCAAGAACAATAAATTTTATGGTAAGGTCTTAGTTTAGCATTTCCCGGACTAGCCTGAGGGCTCATCCAAGGTTAAGAATTCTCAAGAGAGACTCCCCTGGGACGCCCCCCATCTCCTCCCTACTTAGAGCACACAGTGAGGCTGACTAGCTTCCTAGTTTTCTCCCGTTGCTGAAGGGTAAATTTGTTCTAGTTAACACCATTATTACGGGTGGGGTCCTCTGAAGATTCCAGCTGTATAGAGAGGTCTCAGTACAAACTCCTTACCCAGTGGGCCTCACTCCTTCAACTCCTGAAAAATAGTCCAGGGATATGAATATTTCCCCCGAGTAACTAAAACAGTGCATTTAGAAGACAAGGCTACAAGACTTTTTAAAAAGTGGTCTTATAGAGAAAATGACTCAGAGATGGCGCAATTGCTTTTGTGGGCTACAGAGAACTTTAATTTTATGTCTCATTTTGCTCCATACAAAATGGAAGGAGGACATGAATGGCAGTAGTTGGTGCTGAATCAGAGGAGCATTTGCTCACGACACAGCCAGCTTCCTTCATTCCTGCCTCTATGCCACAAGCCCTGCTTCAAGCTCCCTGGTCCTACCTGCCAGGTGGGGACATCCATACTGGAACCAGTTTGCCGCAGGAGCTTACACATTGTAAGAATGTCAAAGGCTGGCCTTTGATCACTTCACCAGAGACCAGCTTCCTTGTTCAACTTGTTCCTTCAGCCCTGATCCCATTCCTCATTTCCCCCTTATTCCTCTGGAGAATTTCCACCATCCCTGGGAGCTGAGGCCCTGGGAACCACAACCTTGCAGAGGTGAGATCAAAGATTAGGATACATACTATTCTGACCTCTGGCCTTCTCTGGGCATATTTTTGTGAGGATATACACAATATATCCTAGCACACTCTCTTAAGACCAACATTCATGTTCTTGCTTAAATAAACTCATATTCCCATTTCCCCTGAGTCATTTGAAAGAAACCACAAAGTCCTAAGTCATGATATATGTGACCTTTGCCTCCCTCTCCAGCAACCAGAACAAAATACATAGTGTCACAAAGAAGCAGTCTGCTACTTTTCCCCCTCATCCAACATGAGTCTGCCACAGCCTGATATTCACAGTACAGATCGTATATAAGAGTATGTCCATCTTTCAGCAACTGCAGTTTGTCCCTCCTTTCAAAGGAATCAGTCAGGTTGATGGGAAGGGACTATTTCAGCACACGTTTATTTTCTGTTTTTCTAATAGTAATTTTAAAAAGTGATATGGGGCCAACCTGTGGCTCACTTGGGAGAGTGTGGTGCTGATAACACCAAGGCCACAGGTTTGGATCCCTATATAGGGATGGCCGGTTTGCTCACTGGGAGAGCATGGTGCTGACAACACCAAGTCAAGAGTTAGGATCCCCTTACCAGTCATCTTTTTAAAAATAAAAATAAATAAAATTTAAAAAGTGATATGTGTCCCGATCCGTGTGTTTAAAGAGTATTGATTTTTTAAAAATTGAGAATTAGATCATGATCAGAATAACAGTCCTTGAGGTGGAATGAAGAATAAATTCAAGATATATTTCAAAAGTTAAAGGAGGACTTATTGGACACGGGCGGTGAGGAAGATAGAGGAATCAAGACAGAGTACCAGTTTTTTTTTTGTTTTTTTTTTTTGTCTTTTTTTGTGACCAGCAACGGGATCACAACCCTTGGTGTTGCTCCCGCACCTCGCTCAGCCAGTGAGCGGCCGGTCTGTATGTGGGATCCGAACCCTCGGCGGGAGTGCCGCCGCGCTCCCAAGCGGCGCACTGTAGCAGTGCGCCACCGGGCCGGCCCAGAGTACCAGTTTTTGGCTTGAGCAACTAGCTGGGGAGTTCAACAATAGTCATTCCTTTAACAGTTATCAACTGTATGTCAGTTCTGTGCCGGGTGCCAAGGATACAGGAAAGAACAAGTCTGACGAGATCTCAGAGTCTAGCAGGGAAGACAGACATTAAACAAATAATCACATGAATAATGATTTGTAGTAAAAAGGCGAAGTTTAAGAGCAAATAAACTTGCTTTTTGTTATGAGGGAGAATTAAAGTAAGGAGGTGCCATTCATGAAAGGTGAAACACGGGATAAGAAGCAAGTTGGGCTGGGGAAGCTGGATTCTAGAGTAACTAATTTCCCGTGTTTGGGCCTCATTTTTCGCACTCAAAAAGGAGGAGTTGGCCTGTGCACTCCTAGAGGGCAGGGTCTTGTCTGATTCACTTGTGTTCCTTAGCTTGTCTCGGAAAAGTCACTAATTAGCGTTTTTGGGGGTGGATGGATGATGGATGGATAAATATTGGGAGGCGAGTGGCGGGATGAATAGATCTATTAGGATTTCTCCAGGTCAGAAAATCTGAAAATTTGGGCCGGCCTGGTGGCGCACTGCTGTAGTGCGCCGCTTGGGAAGCGCGGTGGCGCTTCCGCCGAGGGTTCGGATCCCACATACAGACCGGCCGCTCACTGGCTGAGCGAGGTGCGGGAGCAACACCAAGG